ATACCTGGACAAGTATAACAAATTTATAATTTTTTCATATATAGAGTCTAATTACTGGGGGCTCATTTTATATTCAGGGTTGTCTTGTATTCGAACAAATGTGGTACATAGAGAGAAGTAAACAGGGCCAAAGATAGAGTTTGTTGGACTCTAAGAAAACAGAGAGCAAATGAGAAATTTGTCTTGAAGGACAGACTGGATGAATGATAAAAGATGTATGAGGAAACCCATAAGATGGTGGAGTTACAGAAGATAAGAAGGGGCATAGTCAGCTGTGTTGAAGGCCTCTGAAAGATGAAGGAGGATGCTTCTGTGATTTGGGTAAGAGGAGGTTTTTTAAGATTTTGGCAAGAGAAATTTAAATGGACTACAAGTGGTAGAAGCCAGGTGAGACATGCCTAACAGAATGGTAAAGGAATGGATAGCAAATTCAGTGAATTTATACATAGTTGAAGAAGCAAGTGGGGTCAAGTGCTTTTTAAGACAAAAGAGGCTGAAAGATGTTTGCATTCTGAACAGAAAGACAGAATAGTGAGAGGTAAAGGGGAAAGTAGGAAGGGAGAGCATGAATGCGATGAAACTATGGGGCAAATGGAGGCATAAGAGATGGGTAGGTAGGAACTTTTCCATTCAGGAGAGGAGAAGAGAGTTAAAGGGGAAATCAAGGACAAGGTAAGAAGGGGAAGGTCCTGACAATTTCTTTGCCTCCATTTTTTTAAGCAGGGACTGGGGCATCCCCCACCCTGGGTTCCCCGACGGACCCAGGGGAGGCACTGCCAGGCCCAGAGTCAGTGAGGACCTAGTCAGGGAACTTCTGGTGGGACCAGACATGTTCAAATCAGCAGGTCCTGATGATCTCCACCCCAGAGAGCTGAGGGAATTAGGAGAGGTCATTGCGGGACCCCTGGCACAACTTTATGAGCATTCATGGTGCCAAAGGACTGGAAAAGGGCCAATGTGGGCCCCATTTTCAAAAAAGGGAGGAAGGAGGACCCAGGAAACTATAGGCCCGTTAGTCTTACCTCGGTCCTGGGGAAGCTGTTTGAGAAAATTATCCAGGCGCACATCTGCAAGGGACCAGCAGTGGGGGATCATGTTTAGGGGCAACACGAGTTCATTCGAGGCAGGTCCTGTCAGACCAACCTGGTGGCCTTGTACGACCAGATCACAAAATCCTTGGATGCAGGTGTCGCGGTGAACATAGTCTTTCTGGACTTTAGGAAGGCCTTCAACACTGTTTCACCCCGTTCTTATTAAGAAATTAGGCGACTGTGGCGTCGATGCCTACATAGTCAGATGGGTCACAAATTGGCTGGAGGACCACACCCAGAGAGTGGTGGTAGATGGGTCTTTTTCATCCTGGAGGGATGGTGAGGTCCCCCAGGGCTCGATCCTCGGGCCCACACTGTTCAACATCTTTATCAACGACTTGGACAAAGGGGTGAAAAGCACCTTGTTCAAGTTCACGGATGACACTAAGATGTACGGAGAAGTGGGCACGCTGGAGGAAAGAGACAGGCTACAACTAGATCTGGACAGGTTACAGGGGTGGGTGGATGAGAACAGGATGGGTTTCAATATGGACAAGTGCAAGGTATTGCACCTGGGGGGGAAGAACCAGCAGCATACCTGCAGGCTGGGGAACTCCCTTCTCTTCAGCACAGAGGCAAAAAAGGATCTTGGAGTCACTATTGATTTCAAAATGAACATGGGCCGCCAATGTGGGGATGTGGTCAGGAAGGCTAACCACACCTTGTCATGCACCCACAGATGCATCACGAGCAGGTCCAAAGAGGTGATCCTTCCCCTCTATGTGACACTGGTCAGGCTGCAGTTGGAGTACTGCATCCAGTTCTGAGCACCGCACTTCAGGAGGGATGTGGCCAGCATCGAGAGGGTCCAGAGGAAGGCCACTCGCATGATCAGGGGGCAGCAAGGCAGACCCTATGAGCAGAGGCTACGGGACCTGAACCTTTTCAGCCTCCACAAGACAAGGCTGAGGTGGGATCTGGTGGCCATCTACGGCCATAAGTTGACTGAGGGTAGATTCAGGCTAGATATCAGGAGGCACTACTTCACAGTCAAGGTGGCTAGGATCTGGAACCAACTTCCAAGAGAAGTGGGCTCGCTTCTACCCTGGGGGTCTTCAAAAGGAGGCTGGATAATCACCTAGCTGGGGCCATTTGACTCCAGCATTCTTTCCTGCCCATGGCAGGGGGTTGGACTTGATGATCTACTTAGGTCCCTTCCAACCCTACCAACTATGAAATTATGAAACATACATTGTCAGTTTTCTCTTTAAATAAAAATTGGTAAGATCCTGTGCAGAGGAAGAAGTTGAGGCAGGAACAGGAAAGGGTTTGTGAAGCAAGTCACATCAGAATTGGGTGTATGGACATTGGAGGTGTTGGGGATTGATGGTATGGGAGTCAGTTAATTAATATGAATGATACGCATTAATATATATAATTATAATTATATCAATATGATAAAGGCAGGTCCTGCCTGAGATGTGTTATAGTCTCTGGCCCAAGTCCTGCAGTCATGCATGCTTAACTTTTCAAATATACCTAATCTCATTGACACCTGCGTACAGGATAAGAGATGAACAAAACAACACATGAAGCAGGGCAAGAGGACACAGTAACAGTGAAATGACTCTGCTATAGTAAAAAGCACTTAGTGGACTCAGTAATGCCGGTGTGAATTTGGAGCAGTTTCAGTAATCTCCATGGTTTTAGATAGGTATGACTGGGAGCCCAAGAGAACCAATAGCTAGTTTGTCATTTCATTAGTAATTTTAAACTGGCACAGGTTGCAAAGTATATTAGCCACTGCAGGCTTAGGTTTTCATAAATCCATGCTAGTTGTTTAACCTTTTAGAATATAACTTTGAGGAATGGAATCCAAACTACTCCAGTTTATACTGAATTAGCCTAGATAAATAATGGCTATAAAGTGAAAAGATTTTGATCCAGATGTCCATCTGGTGTTTTTTATAATACCTATTGCTAAGTGGTTAGGTGCTCTGGAGGGAGCTATGTAGTTTGTTTTTGCTTTTCTTACAAGGACCCTTTGCTAGCTGGTGCAGAATGAGCCAGTGGGAATGATGCTTCATGCAACTAGGAAAAAATAAAATTGTGTGGCAGGGATTTGAAAATGCTGCCTAAGTGTTATTTGATAACTGTGAAGTAGCTATAAAAAGGGTGTATGGACTGAGCATGTCCCTTACAAATATAGGATCAGATTGGATAAGCTCTTCTGCCAGTACCTAGAGGAGAGTACTCCTGAGCTTCTCATAATGACAGTTCCTGTACTCCAGCTACTGCTGAATGGGAATATGAAGGATGCAGAGCATTGAGTGGGGTGGGCTGTTTCCATGAAGAGATGCAGCAAGAAGGATGCTCCCTCTGCTCGTTGAGGAATTTTTCCTTCCTGAGACACCATTTTTGTCCTGAGATTTCCACTGTTGTGAAGCAGTAATTTACCACACTCAACATAGGAGTGAGCCCATAATGATCTCTTTGGTCTTATATCCTGCAGAATATCTATAATATGTTGCCACTTCCTATGAGCAAAATACCTGCCATTAAAAAAAAAAAATCTAATTTCCACTATGGAAGCAACTTTCTTTTCTCCAAGGCTTTATTCCTGAGCCAGTTTCATCCCATATGTAACTCCATTGATTTAGATCCCATGTTGCTAATTAGTCATACTATTTGTCATCCATAATCAAAACCTATTACAAATAGGTATGTCTTTTCTAAATATACATTGTGTCTTTGTTTGGGAAACTCAGGCAGCTGGCACACATTACAGTTACAGTTCAAGTGTTAATCACATTGTAAATAGTAACAGTGTTACACATTCAGCTGATTTATGGCACTCTAAAGTGGCAAACCAGCCATAAAGTTATTCCACAAAAAATATGGAACATCTTTGTGGCTTGTTTGTATGGCACCATAAATTGAACATGTAGCATCCCCATGTTGATGCTGACAGTCAGTTGATTGTCAGTGTCAGCATCAGGACCAGGGCAACCCTAGTCCTAATGCCAAATTTGGCTGTTGGAAGAGTGGGTTGCAAGGTTCTCTGGCAGAAGGATTTGAGGGGCACAGACTGCTGGGTATCTGGCAACCCCTGAGTCCAGAAGTCTTTCCTGCCTTGCCCTGCAGCTCCCACAGGGGGGCTGATTGTCAGACCTGCCCCAACAGCCCCAAGTCTGGAATCCACCCAGGGCCAAGTCCAACAATTATGTCATTGTCAGACCCTGCTCCCTGCCTATGGTCTTGAACCCACCTGGGACTGCCACGGCCAGTCCTGATTATCAGCTGATCATTGGACCTGGCCCAACACTCCCGTCTGGAATCTGCAGAGGGATAGGAGCAGCCCTGGGTCTGCAACAGGGCTGTCCCTGCCCAGTCTGCAGGAGCGGGCTGGGAGCAGCTCAGCAGTGATGTTATTTGGATCAGAGGAATTTTATGCCCTATCCCAACCATTGCACCTCCTGCAGTGCAAATCTAACATGGCAGAAGGTGCAGTGTTTGAGATGTATTTGAGTGTTTGTGATGTGGCAAGTTCCTACAATCCTAGTCATACCATTGTTTGAACATCTGCCAGGGGCTGCAGTTATAATAGTCTGTTTGGATTTTTTCAATTCATTTTGACAGGAGTGAATTGAAAAATACAGAACTGAAAGTGAAACCCAAGGAGTACGACTTCATAAAATACACAGTTAGAGCCCTGCATTTTGGAGTCCATTTGGTCTCAGTCTAATGTACTTAATAGATGCACGCTGAGCTAAAAATAATGTGGTGGCTTAGCCAGTGTCTGAACACTAAATTTTAAATTGCAACTCAGTGCGTGAGAGAGTCAAATAAAAGGGGAGAAATTTCAAAGGAGTTGAAAGGAAGGAGAAATTATTTTCTTTCATTAATCTATATAGCTGTCTGTTACATGTCAACTGGTGAAAATTCTTCTTGCTGTGTTTATTCCCCCAGGTCTCCCTTGTTCACCTCCTGAAGACAGTCCGGTTACTGCGTCTTTTACGTCTCCTTCAGAGACTGGATCGTTATTCCCAGCACAGCACAATTGTTCTCACACTTCTTATGTCCATGTTTGCTCTGCTTGCTCATTGGATGGCCTGCCTTTGGTACGTCATTGGGAAAAGGGAGATGGAAAAGAATAATCCCCTTACTTGGGACATAGGTAAGATTGCTTCTACTATATGAAAATGACATAATATTTTCTCTTTCTGGTTATAGTTGATAGTACTGTATCATAATACCTTGTAGAAAAAAAACAAACAAACCTGATAGTATATTTTATCAAGATCTCAAAGCTAAAGGTCCTCCCAAGACCTCAAGGATTTGGCAAGTTGGTCACAGAAAGGGAAGTGTTATTTGAGTAAATTGTTCATGATGGATCTGACTGGGATCCTATTTGAAGTTTACCAGTATGAGTGAAATTTGTGCAGTCTATGTCTGTGAGTTACTTGCACTGCTGTTGTATTTGATACTGTTATTGACTTCCATAGCAGATGTAAACACTGCAGTCTGCGCATTTTCTTCTAGAGCTCAAGATTCTCACTTGAGCAAGTTTTGTAACCTTTGCTGGCCTAAAAAGTTGTTTTACTCCACTAACTAATAAAGCATAGCTACTGGACTAACTGTTGCAATCTGGATAGTACTTAAGGTAGTGAAGTGGTTTTTTTTCCTGCTTTTCATTCCTTACTTTTTAAATCCCATGTCTTTATTTCTCCATTTTTCCCATTCTTCATTCCCTTCAATGAGGCATTTTCTCTTTGAGATATAGTATGATCTTTCTACGATTTGCAAAGATAAGATTAATTTTCAGTTAGCCACAAAACAGAAGACACAAACTTGTGTTTAAGGGCCTGATTCTAATCTCACTTACACCTTTGTAATTATGGCATTGCTTCTCATTTCCATGGGTTTAAATGAGCACAGGACAAGTCAAGGAGTCTTTATTGTTTGTCTACTGCTTTGAATTAGTCCATGCTGAGTTAGTCTTACAAAATACAAGACATACCTTTCAGAGTTAGTTGTACAAGGAACAGATATTATTTGAAATGTTCCTGCTTGCTAAATGCTTTCATTCTCTGAAAGCTGTGCGATTGGTTGAAAATGGACCACCTTGAATATACAGTGAACAGATTAGTAGGAGGCCAAATGTCAGAATGCTGCTTCCACTAGATAGTCAAAGCTGTCAGGTATGATTTGTGTAACAGTCTTGAACAAATCTCCCTCCTGTCCTCAAGAACTTCAGCAGCAACTTTTTATTATTCTGCATTCAATAGCATTTATAATACTCCAGCAATGGAAGAGTTACTGTTAGCAACAAACTAAAAGACTTGGATTTTTATAGAAATAATGTAAAATATATCTGCTTCCTTTACAAAAGATTTTTTTAAAGACCGTGTAAATTACACTTTTAATTTTTTTGCATCCATATTTAAAGATGTCACCTTCATTCTCCTTTCAAACTTATATACAGTAAGTAATATTTGTTACTTCTATGGGTATCAGTATGTTGATTCAGTAAGAAGAGCAATATGTACGCTTTGGACCATTTTACCCTATGCATGCTTTCCTAGGTTACAGTATAAACTCTGTAACATAGGAACATAGGAAAGTAGGGCTGGAAGGGACTTCACAAGATCATCTAGTCCATTCCCCTGCTAAAGGGGGACATTTCTGACTAAACCATCTGAGCCAAGTGCCAAGTATGTTATGGATAGATTCTCAAAGGGACTTGGTTATTAGGGCTGTACGAAACACCATTCTTTTGTTTTGGCATCCATTTCACCATTTCAAATGGACAGTGTTTCATTTCATCATTTCATTTAATTTTGAAGCACTGTCCTGTTTCATTTCGTTGAAACTGTTTACTGTTTCGATGCATTTCAGCATTTTGCTCGTAGACTATAATGGGGAATCATGGAAAGCCCTAAAACTTTGTCATTTCTTGTCTGATTCATATGAAAATTGCAGGGACAGTTGCCACTTCTGAGGGCATGATGCCGGCTAAGTTTCAAGGACATAGGTACAGAGGTTTATCGGAAATTGCACCTCAAACTGCAAAAAGCAAAGCTCCTGATACTTGCTGGCAGCAGCATCCTGTCATCCAGTGCAGATCCGGGGACCCGCACACCCAGGAGGGCTGCAGGGCTGTGCTGGACTCCTCCCAGGGGTGCGGGGCCCCAGATCTGTGCTGGATGACAGGAGGCTGCCGCTGCCACCTGGGACCAGCACTGGGCTTCGTGAAGCTCAGCCCAGCAGTGGGAGGTGGAGTGCAGCCCTGGCTCTGCCAGCTTCCTGCTGTTGGGCTGCGCTCTGAGTGGCTCTGCAGCCCCACTGACTACACCCAGCAGCAGGAGGTGGAGCACAGCCCTGGCTCTGCCCACCTCCCGCTGCTGAGCTGTGCTTTATGGGGCTGTGGAGCCGCTCAAAGTGCAGCCCAGTGGCAAGAGATGAAAACAGCCAGTGCTACGCTCCACCTCCCACCCCCGGACTGAGCTCCATGGGGCTCCACAGCCACACCGAGCACAGTCTGGCAGTGGGAGGTGGGCAGAGCCAAGGCTGCACTCTGCAAAATGTCAAAACATGGCTAGAGCATTACTAGGTATTTCTAGTGGTCAGACAGGGTTTGAATAACTATTTTCTATTCATGTCTTTCTGAGATCTAAGCCAGAGAATTTCTGCTTTGTTTCCATGCTGGTCCATCTTAGTGAACAATTTGACCAATCAAAGTTGTTTTAAAGACTTCATTCATTAGAAGTAAGAGGTATTGGGTACACATGTAAATATTACTTGGTGCAAAAGTCCACATACAGTATAAGGATACATCCGTGAGGACAAAAAAAGACTGAAGCTCCTGCTGGATGATGGAGAAATACTTTATTAGTTCACTTGAATGTATTTTCTGCGGCTGTGCACCATAGGCACAGAGAGGTTACAAATACACTTTGAAAGGGATCTCTACCCCATGAGGTTGATCAGTAGGGCAACCATAAGCCCTTTGAAAAAGCAGCATCTGCCTTTTTAATCAAATAGACAAAAAATCCTAATATTAATGGGAAAATGCAGCTGTATTTGTGATGTGTACCTGAGGGACTCAATTTACACAAGCTCATTATTTAATTTCTTAGTTAGACCCTAATGGCTGTAGTGGAGCTACTCTTTTATGTTCCATTGGATGACCACAACCAACTTGACTGCATAGCTAGTGTCTTCTCACTTGTCTTGTTTAAGAGTTTGCAAGACTACTTCTGCTGAATATGTTTCATGAAGCTCATAGATAGGGTGACCATACATCCTGGGTGAACTGGGACAGCTCCAGCTTCCATAGTGCTGTCCTGGCCAGTTGGTTAAAAGTCCCAAAGCAGAGTCCAGCAGGGATGCAAAGCACTAGACAGATGGCTGGGCAGGTACTGCTGCTGCTGCATAGAAGCAAGTTGGGTGGACTAAAGTGGGGTGGTACCTGCTGCAGTCCACCTGCCTTGCTCCCACACAGAAGCAGTGGCACCTGGAGCACCATGCCACTCTGTGTCCACACCAGACTCTGCTCTGGGACTTCTGCTCAACTGGCCAGGAATGGACTATGGGACTTGGGCTGTTCTGGTTTGTCCAAGATGTGTGGTCACCCTAATCACAAAAGACCACCATAACTTAATCAAAATCCTCAAAAATTCAGAAAAGAAATGCAGGAAAGAGCACTTCTGATCAACAGTGGGAATCACTGACTTGACTTTGTGATCAACTGATTAAGTCTGGGAGCACAACATAAACTATAGATGCCACTGGTTTATGATATCTCAGAACTTCCCTTGCTGACTGCTGAACTTATCTGGAAGCAGCATTCTTGATTTATAAGTCAATGGAGTCAGAAGGACCTGCAAAGCAGAGTTCTACCCCAGTAGGACATGGAGACATGACTTGCAGAGCAGTTACCTGAGTTTATAGGTTGTGTATCCAAACTACTAGGTTGCCCATTGAGGCAATGTCCAGGACATGGTCCATACTGGGAAGGACCCAATGTGGTAAGGGTTAAAGGTAGCTGCTCATATTGGGCATGGGCAGTCTAAGCCATAGATTCTAGGTAAGTACCAGTTTAGGTAATTAAGTAGTTCGAAGGATCTAGACATTAATCTAGATTCTGTCAGTATCCCTGAAGAAAGCCATCAAGCAGAAATCTCTATCATGATCATTATTGTATATTATATCTTATACTTACTGACTTAGAAAGGTTTTAATGCTTGGAAGATTTTCCCAGGCTGATGCCAAGAAACTTGAGGCATTCATCATTCTCTTCATTAGTTTTTTGTGGTCATAAGCAATCTTGTCAGTAGCTCTGAGGTTGTGTTTTGAATGTTTCCTTGAGGCTAGTCAGTTGCATCACTTGTATATCTATTTAGATTAAAATTCAAGTTATGCTTGCTTCAAAGAAAAGGTAGTCTTTTTGTTTTGTCTTTTTTATGATTATTTTAAAATATGTCCCAAGCTAGGGGTAATCCTTTGGTTTGAAACTGCACTTTAGTGCACTAATTAAAGATTTTTAGTAGTCTAGAATATGATGCAGGATTAGGATCAAGATAGTTTATACATAACTAAAATCATGTCCTATCTGGGGTATAAATAATAAACACTTCTCACACAATTCTTCACATCTTCAATATGCTATACAAATCCTAATCATAGCATATTGTATAATTAATTTAATATTTTACTTAATAATTTATGTATCAGACAACTGAAACAGGTTAAAAACTTGTTTGAAACTACACAGAGAGTTGGTATTCTCTGAGACTGGAACTCAATCTCAATCTTGTTGGTTTCCATACTAGTCTTAATGTAATGTCCTTATCATTATTTTTTTTTTATTATTAATTAACATTCACATGGACTATTCTAGCTATGTTTTTCTACAAACTTAGCCCCTCCTCCTCCAGCTGGATATTTAAATATAATTGGTTCTGTATTTAACATTTGCCCTTTCTTCCCTTCTCCTCCACCCCTATGTGCCAGATCCAGTACCCACAGCACCCACTCTGGACTGACCTGAGCAGGCACGTGTGTGGATTGCATCCCAGACTGGTTTGAGTGGGTGCTGTGGGCACTGGACTCGTCCCATGCAGGGCCAGCACTGGGGTCTGGAGAATGTGACTTTGTAGGATGGATCTCCCCCAT